TAAACATTTGTCCATTTTTGTGAAAGTTGACAAACCAAAAGTGTATTTTATATGGAAAAACCTAATACTAATTATTGTTGTTGTTATTATTATTATTTTACTAGGCCATGACATATGGAACCCTGGTTTAAATGGTGTGGTTAGTAATATGCACAGTGCCCTCTACCTTAAAAGTCAATAGCATAGACCTTAGGGATATTCCACTTGTTTTTTTGTATAATATAGAAGGCCTGTGACAATCATCGAAAAAACTCCTAAATCTTCATTTGCTAAGTCAAGCTATGATTTTGTCTGTATATTGTGTAAGTTTATTATTTACATTATTTGCAATCAAACTAATGTCCTCATCTTTGTTGTTATTATCACAACATTTTGACCATTGTGCCCTCCAGTCCTCTTCAGGCTTCTATCAATTTGGATAACTCGCATGGAATCTCAAAGAGAAATCCTTTATTAAATTCACAGATTATTCACACTATTGACATTATTTACATGTGGACTATTGTCCCCATCTTTGTTGTTGTTATCACAATGTTCTGGCCTTCATCAGGTGATTTTTAGTCTAAGTAACCTGCAGGAATTTTCAAATTGAACACTTTATTTAATCTACAGTGGTAGGTTTTTCTTGTTCCACTGTCCATGTTCAAGGATATCTTGTCTAGGTTTTAGTACTGCTCAGTTATTGCTCACCCTGTTTTTCTCTGTGTGGAAAAGGAGGCATCTTGTCATTACAGCATCCTGTGAACAAAAGTGCAAAAAGAGGAAGAGATTTTATGCCCTTTCCTATTATAGTCCTTATTACCATGCCACTTATTAGGCATTAAGAGAGGCCCTCAGGCAGACAAAGTGGTGTAATCCCACATCATATGTAAGTTTAATTTTCCAAAATGTAGTAAAATTAATGTTATTATTAAGTCACCACAATTCCTTAAAATTTTTTAGTAATAAGTATTTGAATATTTGGATAGTATAATGTTTAGTAACTTGAAAAGAGATATCAGCAAGCCAAGTTTGAATTCCAGAGAAGTTTGTTTTGTTCATCTCTGCACAAATATCTCTTCTCCTCCTTTATGGATTAAATTGCTGGGATGACTGTTTTCTCTTGCCTTAAAGTGGTAACCTGTCTAGATGATAAACTACATCCGCGTCCTGGGTAAAACAATAAACTACATCCAACATCAAGGTCTCTGATCAGGAGCTTCTGAGGAGCATGGAACCACCCCTTAATTGCTGGTGTTCCCAGGTTCACCCTGACCCGGGGTGGTAGCACCTGTTGGGGTCCCAGCTACGGGCAAATAGTTAACCCCCCAAACTGGGATCAAAACACTATGAAAGTATAAAAATAGGTTTTAATATCAGCAATACATTTTTGAAAAAAAAAACAAAGATATTACCAGCTATACATTTTTCAAAAAAAATATTACCAGAAATACATTTTTGAAAAAAAAAATTACCAGCAATAAAAATTTTGTCGGCATTAAATAACCCATTTAGGTTGATATGCTGTAAATCAAACCAAACCAATCTAAATCCAAAGAGTAACACTTTGGCTACCCTATCAGCAGGAGCATAATATTGGGGCTATTGTACTGCCATTTTGTGAATGGGATCTGGATCCTGCAGTAGTATCTGGCAGGGCCTCTCTATACCATGATGAAGTGTACAGTTATGGCTTTACGTCTAGACTATTTAATCCAGCTAAATGATGCACATACTTCTTGAAGGTATGGCTGATTTGCTGCCTAGTCTTCATCTGTTCCAAAATCTCCATATCAAACAATGTCTATAACAAAAACTAATAAATGATACAAACTTAACACCACAAAAAAAGTATCTACTACACAAATGTGAGGATGTCCATGATCCCAATTTCTGGTTTGACCTCATCTTCCTGTTGGAAACTGCTCTTAACCTAACTATCCCAATTCAGGATTTAACAATCCTGGGCTACTTGCCCCTAATAGCAAATTATGGGTTCCTATGTGGCAGAGACCTTAAAAACAAGGATCCCAATTTCCAATTCATGTGCTTTTATGGAACTCTTGTTGATAGTATGTCTTTCATTTTCACTATTGTTCACAGGATGATGGAATTGTAATGTTTGACAAAATAACTGAGAAAATTGATGATATCCTTGCTGATCATCCTTCAGTTACTATTCATATTTGCTGTGACTTCAATATTTACCACAAGAAGTGGTTAGTCCACTCAATCAGAACCAACAAAGAAGACAGATACTGTCATGAATTTGCTATTGCTTATGATCTGTTGATAGTTGATAAAACCATCCTGACACAATGGGACATCATGTAAACCTAGATCTCTTCCTCATATCTTGCCCTGAAAAATGCTCTGCTGAAGTACTGCCTCCCTTGGACTCTTCTGGGTCTGTGCTAATCAATGTTAAAGTTGATGCCAAACCAAAAGTCTCTCCTAATGTACCATTTCACAGGATGATTTTTTTGGTACAACAAAGCTGACTGGGACAGCTTCTGATTCTATATTGTGGAAGCTCTCCTCTCAGCTTTCTTCAAAAATAGAGCTCCCAGAACTACCTCCCTCGTCCCTGAATGGATGCTCTCAAGCATGGACAATTTTATCCCCCCAAAAAAGTACCAGCAGAAACCAAATAACCATCCCTGGTTCACACTGGAATGTGCTGCAGCCATAACCACTATTACCATCTCTACCACAGAGAATGGTAATGGTAATATCAGCTGTTTCCCTACAAGGAAACATTTTACATTTATTGACCGAGCAGCCAGTACTATTTTCTGTTTAAATTTATAAAATCTTTTTCTTAAAACAATTTTTCAGGAAAATTGGTTTCTTAAGTTCAGTAGCTTTTATCACTCTTTCTAGTATTGATGGGGGTTTCCTTCCTAATTTTTTATTTGATGTTGTGTGAAATGTCAACAAATTGATTATGTCATTATTTTCTCTTTGACTTACATGTGCTATCTATTTTAATTGTTGCTGCTGTTGGTAGTCCTCAATTGATGTGGTTTCTGTTATTTTGTACAGTTCGTTGTGATTCTGTAGTGACTGTTCACAATGTTCAAAGAAGGATTATCTTTGCTAAAACCCTCAGGCATCACACGCTCAAAGTCATTTTAACCACTGATCTTAGAAAGTGGTTATATTCAGCTGACAGTTTAAATATTTCTGAACGGGTTTGGCACCATGCATAACATCCATATGAAAGTCTCAATCTAACAAGCCTATTTAAGAATGTTCCTTAGTCCCACCAGCACTGACCTTTACAACTTGGAGTCACCATACTATGTACACAAAGGTAAATTATCTCCATTCACTTTGTATTATGAGGGATGTTGCTAGGGTCCCGCCCCTGAACTTTGTCATGGGGCTCCCTCTCTACTACATGTCAATTTCAAACTTTCCCAACCAGTGCCACAAACCCTCGAAAGATAATTGGGGGAAGGGCAGTATTTTTTCTAAATTACCAAAAATCAGAGCATTATCCAATTTAAATGAAAATTTCAGTACATATTAATTATTTACTTTTATAATGAATATTTTTTTTTAAATTTGAAAAAATGTTATTCTTTTTGTAATAACCACCAATATAGCCATGACTAAAGTTTACTGAAATTAGCATTTCTGAAGCAGGTATGGGGCCCTGCATGCAGTTGAGAGGTTTTGGGTAGTAAGCACCAGCCTCGTTGATTATTATAGTTGATCACTGACAATATAATTTAGGTAGAAAAAAAAAGTAAAAAGTACAAAAAGTTAAAAACACTGCTGAAACTAACCCTTTTGGGGCTCTAACCTTGTCGGGGTTTCCTGCGTAGTATGCACTGCACTGGCCATGCAGATACATGATGTATATTATTACTTGATGACTGACAATAAAATAGCCATAAAACAATGCTGAAAAAATGGCATAGGTCACAATGGGGCCCAAAAAATGCTCCCCTCCCTAGTCAGGTGTTTTGGGGATAAGATGTGCTGGCCCTGTGTATTCCTATAGTAAGATGCAAGTTTCACTTGGACAGCTTCTTCCTAAGAACTGCTGTTTTGTGGAACAGTTTTCCAGCAGGGTGTTTTTTTCAGTGACTACAATCTTGACCTTGTGATTTACCCCAACTTAGCTTTGCTAGTTTTGCCAAGTCATTATGGGGCGCTGTCAAACAACTCCAACAAATAGACACTTCCTGTGTTTGTTCTCTTATCTCTTTTTTCCTTCTAGCATGCAGGAGAAGTGACAACAAAAACATTAACTGAGGCCTTCCTAGGCATGTGGATATCTTTTCCCTTAGTGACTGAACTTACATAACTTGAATGGCTCTTTGGCCTTACGTTAGGTGAACATTAGTATGGGAAAAAATCTTGAAGAGGGTTGGGCTCTGTCATGCTATTTTGCTGTACCCCCTCGTTGCTATGGTTGCAGTATATGTGGTGTTCCAACTAAATGTGTTGCGGAACATGTGATGTGACAAAAATAAGTATTCATTGCAATATTATTACTACTCTTTCTTTTCAAAACAAAATTGGTTTCATTATTATTTCTATTGATATTTTTTATGATGATAGCATGTCGGAAATAAAATATAAAGAAAGAAAGGTACATTTGGAGACTATCTTTCACCCTTGGGGGATTAATGTGATTTCACAAGCAGAAACTAAACAAGAGTAAGAAGACTAATTTTGAATTTTTAAAAATATCCTTTTATATTTTTTACGAGAGAAACGAAAAACTGGAAAGAACGCCTCAAAGTGTAAATATTGTCACTATAATTTTAGGTATGAGAAATAAGTAGAAAAAAAAAGAAGTGAAACAAATAGCCCCCCAAACCGAGAAAAAAAACTGCATGAGGTATTGCGTCACAGTATCAATAATCAGGAAGGGGAATACAACACCACGTGGCTATGATAAATAGTGAGTAGGGGCGGATGATTGGGCTTGGTATTTTAGTCACATGACACAACAACATTTGTTTCTCTTAACACAAGAGAGCTCCGTCGTCGACACTTCAACTATGGCTCCCTCGTCGGTTCTACAACGGACAGGATGGATTATTACGTGGTCGCTAATGGCCTTTTTCGTCCTTTTAGTTGCTGCCACAGAATTGAATGACGATGTTTCCTCCTCCTTGGTGGCTCGTTTGGAGAAAAGGGAATTGGTGGAAGGGTCGCATTTTTGGCCCGAGCCGTCCAAACGTAGGAAACGTGATACCAGTGCAACTACCAGTGAGGAAATTGCAATATGCAAGAAACAGGGGGAAACGTTTTTGACTGATCTAAAAAATGGGCAAGGCATCGATAAAGAGGTAATAATTATTCTTTGTGGTGATAGAAATAGATTGGAATTTGTTTATTTAAAAGGTCTGTCCATTTTCGTTTTTATAATGTCGAAATTTAAATACAATATTTCGCCACGGTTTGTTTGTTTTTTGTGAGTTGTTGCAAAACAAAATTGTTTATGCACAAATTGGCATTTCTTTTTCATAAAAGGAAGTAGTTTAAGAAGCATATTAATATCTTATGATTTTTAACATTTATTATTTATGTGATTAAATTATTTTAAGATAGCGCTTTTTTGTGAAATTCTACTCTATTGTTAAAAAAATGAAATACGGTTAAAATTAAATAAATTATTATGGTTGGTTAAGTAAGTGAAGTCACAATTATTTTACGACAGGTTTTTATTGATGAAAATATATGTAATAATTGGTTTGTGATTTAATCATCAACATCTATTTCTTAATTTATAAGATCAGAATATTCTGATTATGTGAACGCTTTGTAAAACGTTTTGCAAGAAAATGTTACAAAATAAGTTTCATTTTAATTAATGAATCTCTATATTTATTCTGTTGCTGATTTTTTTTTTTTTTTTTTTAACTTTTAATCACAAAGTTTAAGAAGTGTTTTCTTTCTTCTGCTTGAATACAAACATAAGCTGTTAGTGGAAAATAAATTTTAATCAATCCTTGGTTGTGTAAAAATAAAGAGTTGAAAAAAACCTATATTTTTTTTTTTTTTTTTTTTTTGAAGACTGTTTTTCGTCAGTATTTATAGAAATTAAACTTAAAGGCACCACGTCAAGATTAGAAATAGAACACTTGACCCAGTGATATGTAGTTTGGCAAATGACACCACGTTAAGGCTTTCCTTTCAGGAATAAAAACAAATATTTATTTTAAATATTGGGGTATTTTGAAACACTAACTCCGATTGCTTTTTATTTTTCAGCTAACTAAAATCAATTTTTTTAATAACATTTAAAAAATAAAAATGAATGATAGCTGTCGCTTCTTGGGCTTGTTTGAGGACAGCTGATTAGTCGAATTTAAATCAGTTATATAAACACAAGAGGTGCTGAAAAGTTCTTGACCTAACTAGCATACTTAAAATTTTAACCCAAACACAAAACATCACTTATTTATTTTTTAGTTTGCGTTATATAGTTTTAAATAATATTGGTGTGTTAGGCTAGAAAGAATTGATTTGTTTATTTCATTTCAATGAAAGTCCTCGATAACGAGAGAAAGGAAGCTCAAGCGGGGCTTTCGTTTATAATCCCCACCGAAAGCAAACAGCCATAATTCTAAAGTACGGAAGCCTAAAAAGATTAAATTGCTATTTTCTCGCAGATTAGAAATTCAGTTCTTGGTTTCATTTTGGGTTCATAAAGAAAGATGTTTAGTGAATCAAAATAAAACATTCAACCTTTTTTTTCCTCCGAACCTTTCTTTCATACCTTTTAGTTGGATTCTTTTTGTAAAAATAAAAGTGGCTAAATGCCGTCAAAAGTTTAATAAGAGATAGAGTAAAAAAAATTAGGCATATCCTTATCAGTTATTTTTTAGTCATTTTTCCTTAATAATTAATATAAAAATAGTATATCTCAAAGTCAATGTTTTGTTCTAGTTTTTGTGATCACGATGGGGATATTTTGGGTCCCTTTCGGTAAAAAGATACTGCTTAATTTTTTTTAAGTTTAAATTTATTCGTAGGGATAAGAGACCCGACCAAGAATAATTCAATAGAAATATGCAAATGAAGCACATAAATAATCCCGTCATTTTTGATACGTCATTCTTTACCAGTTGTTGAGCAGTTAAGTAATATTTTATTATGTTCATCGTTCATTATATTTCACTCGGGTTTAGAAGCTACCACTTAAATGAATATGAAGGGGTGCTGTAAAGTTACTTGTCTGACTAAGCAATCCTTTTAAAAATCATTTAGAATCGGGTCGGACCGAGAACTTTTCAGCTCTTTTTCATAAAAAAAAACAAAAACATCACCGACTAGACTTGAACAAGTTGTCAATTAAAGTTTAAACAATAAAATAAAAAATATAAAATCAACTTTGCTAGAAAGTTCGATTTGTTTTACTTAGTTTATTTTAATTTTTTTATAACAAAACAAAAAAAAAATTTACTCATCTTTGTTATTAAATATAATTAAACAATAACAACGTTGTGCCCTCAGGTCTTATTTTTTCATAAGTTTTTTTTTCTTATAATGCTCACCCAATAAAATAAAGAGCCACTCAAGGTAAAGTTTTCTTTTTAAAGAGTGACAACCCCCCCATCTTTGATAATCCTTTTCAATTTTAAATGAATGCCGTCACGTTAGGACGTTTTCAGAATTCTTAATGAATGCAGAAAGACTAGAGAAGCATTTTGTAATCTTAGAAAAATAAAAAAAAAAAAACAACAAAAAAGACGTCAATCTTTATTTTTTTTTTTTTTTTTTTGTGGGGTGGATCAATAAACAACCTTCTTGTCTTTTCAAAATTTTGACTCCTATTTTTTTCGTTTGTTTTCATTCAAACGTTTAGTTTTCGAATTTTTAATGCTGTGTGTAAAGAAAGTGTCAGCAATTAACAAATTTTCATAACATGGTATAATCAAATGATTGACCAGATCTCCTTGACGTCAGTACGCAGCGACTACTTGCTTTTCGTGAACCTAACTTGTTTATTTCACAAACAACTCTTTGTCTCGATGCCAAAATCACACCTGCTATACTACCAAAATAAATAATAATTATTATAATTGAAGTGATAAGGAAGATTTATTTTCCTTAAATTTAAATAATAAACTAAAGAAAATGTAATTGTCATAATAGAGGTCCTCTCGTACACGCAGAACCTGACCACCGTTGGTTACACATGCTTTTCTTTTTGACGATTGCTTTGTTGTACTTGCTGCAACTACATTTTTTTTCCTTTTTTCGTTATTGAAAATAACTGAAGCATGACTGACTTTTTTTTTAACTGACAGTTCTCGACAAAATACGAAATCCTTTGCCATTACTAATCTGCAAAAACTAGAAAAAAATTCCTTTTCCACGTTAAATTATTTGTGATAAACTTAGTTCCTGATTATTCTGACGGTCAGGCTTATTGCCATATCACGTTGAAATACTGGTTGTACGATATCACTGAAGTTAAGCAACGTCGAGCGTGGCCAGTACCTAGATGGGTAACAGCTTGGAAATACCGAGTTGTGTAATAATAGATAAAAAGGCCCTGAAGTAGAAATCTGAGAACCAAGGTCCAATTCCAGTCGGATCCGTTAAAAATTCACTTAACACACTTCTTAAGGAAAGGTGTGACCCATCTCTTGTCTTCCCAGCTGAAATTTTTTTGGAGATAATGATTTACTGATAAAAATCCTACTTAAGTTGTACTTATCAGTGTAAATCATTGTCTCCAAAAAAATTTTAAATTTAAAAATATCTCCTGGCTTTATAACCTGTAAAAGTCGTAAAAAAAAAAAAAATCAATGAGTCTTATTTTGAAGATTTTTTGGCTTGAAAACAAAAAAACACAAGAGAAAGCAAAAATAAATAAACGGAAGGTATACAAGTTATTTATTTTGTGAGATTTTTAATCAATTAGGATTTGTGCTAAAAATATGTAATAGTTTTTACTTTTTACAGAGGGATATTAAAAAATAAAAAAATAAAACAATCCGACTATTGTACAACTTTGGTATTCCACAGATATAAGTTTTGTTTGGTCTGGAAATCCTGTTTCTAAATGTAAAGATATTGTAAGCAAGCAGGAAATGATACAATATAAAATTTATCAAAGTAGGCTTTCTGCTCTTACAGTGATATTAAATACTGTACATCATTTCATTGTTACAACAAGCAGACAAAAATATTTTAATTAGGATTGGACAAAACACGATGTTACCATTCTCTTGATGCTGTCCCTTATACTTTTACAGAGCAACTATCATTGCAGAAATTCTAAAATTTATGTTCACCATCAACTCAAAATTTGATCTGTTTGCACCTGGAAAATAATATGGGGGGGGGAACAGATGTACGAGTTTTTATGATTTGAATACTTACAGAAGTTTCTTGTACTTACATGTACTTTTAATTTGAAAGTGTATCTGAAGTGATCATGGGTGTGTACATACAGATATAATGGCTTTCTACTCTTGTTTTCTGTGCACACTCGTCTGCTAGGACGGCTTGCTAATCCTTGTTGCAGACACCTACTGAGGCACATTTGTGTTTGCTCAACACTCACTGAGGCCACCAGCGGTTTACTCTGCAACTATGCTGAGTGGATCTTAGTTACAGGTTCTGGGAGAGAGCACATAATCTGTCATAATCAGCAGTTTGAACAATGCCAGTACATTCAAACTATCAGTCACAATGACTTCATGCTAACACAACTGTAAATGGATTATAAATAGTTCTGTCTACTCAACTTCACTCACAAGGCTTGAGTCAACCCTATGGCATGGTTTTCAGACACTTTGCGAAGGTTCTGCAAGCTGGGATTGCTTCCACAGGCCGATATCAAGAAATCACATTCCTGGCAAATCAACCATGGTTCACATTGGAAAGTGAATGCTCTAGCCATCCACACATACAAATATAACATTGAGTTGTGATTTAGTTTGTAACTTTTCTTGTTGAATCTAAACATTGTTAGATATATTCAAAAGGCATTGAAAAAATATGCATTATTTATAGCAATTAAAAAAAAAAAATCTGATACAAGTTCAGCAGGTTTTGCTCTGGCAAGATAGACTTAGAAGATTAGATTTTTAATTGTGCATATGTGTAATGTTTTTTGTTTTCAATCAAAATTAAAATGTTAACGTTAGAATTTGAATACAGATCAATTAAAATGAAATAGGTAATTGTAGAATTATTTGAGCAATGTAAAAAGAAAAAACAAACTTTATTTAAATTTGATGTACACTGTATATAATTCCAACTATAGTGAACCAGGATGTGAACAGTGTACTGTATGAGACATTTAAAAAAACAAAAAACAAAACAAAAC